AATTCTCCTTTCAGTACACTTAAGGTTGATCTCTAGGAATTTTTAATTAGATGTGAAAATAGGGAAATGAGGTGGTTAATGCCAGGAAATCTTGTGTCTGTAATTACCTGTAAAATTATTTTTGCCATTCATATTGAAAAGAGAAATTTTTCATTTATTTTGAAATATTATTGAAAGGTCTTGTAAAAAGATAGAACTTCAAGGCATATCTAAAGGAATAATAAATTCCCAATTGTCTCCTAAATCGGTGGATTACTAAGCTTGAATTTAATATAGTTCCCCAGGTTGTCTACACTCATTTTTCTTTTGCAAATGACAAATGTTAGGTGACAAGATGAACTGGAATTTCAGATAGTAGAGTTCCTGAGTAGAGCAAGTACCTACATTTTGCTTGCAAAATACACAGTAAGATGATGTCAGAATACAAAGAGCTACAGTCAAAATCTCCTACTAAACTTTTGGCATCGTGAGGCAAAATAGGTGAATGAAAGAGCTCTCTATCCCTTTCCTTTTTTCTCACTTTATGAAGAAGAATAATGGAGTCCAAGTTTATTTGAGGTCAGCCTACTTATTTCCTGAAAATGTACTGTGCTGAAAATACGTGCAATTACATTTTCTCTGTCTCTTTTATTATCCTTCTTTGTCATTACAATCGTCTGCGCAGATGTTTCTCTTCCATACCTGCTTCCATTGTAATATTCAGAAATAAAGCAATACATTTTAAATATGAAACTCTTTCAGATTACAATAGTTAGGTGGGTAGACATGTAGCATCATCTGCAGAATAGTATAAATGCGAAGAAGATTTTCTCTTGGCAAAATATGAGAGCCTTTGGGGGGACTCTGAGATTTTCATAGACACATTTCACATTTTCAAAAGTAAAAATCTGAGGGAAAAATTGTTTTTTCATATTGAGTGCATAATATTAGCAATGCCTTTGTTGAAATTTAAATAGCTAACCATTTAGCTAAAGTGCCTATTTTTTATTCATGGTATACCAGCCCAAGAATAGGCTGGCCAGTATTATCATCTTTAGTGTCTTGGGTGCAGCTAAATTATTTAAATACTTGAAGTGGGGTCCAGAAAGATAGTATCACAGGTAAATCGCTTGCCATGAAGAAGACTGACCCTGGCTCAATCCCTTGTACCCCATGTGGTCCCCCAAACCTGCCAGGAGTGATCCTTGAGTGTAGCGCTGCCTGAGTAAGCCCTGAGCATGGCTAGTGTGGCATAAAGTAAAACAAATAAGTAAAGAAAAACAAAAGGAAGCGTTTGAAGTAAAATGGTTTTATTAATGGAGGCTACTAATTCTAAGAATATGAAATTCTTCAGAGAGACACAGAGAGAGTAGAAAGGCCCCAAGCAAAGGAAACCCATTGCTCCAAGGGACACGGGCAACCCCAGTATGGCATACAATAAAGCAAAGCAAAAAACACATACTGAAGACCAGGAAATGGGTGACCCCAGAGTGCCCGGTTTAATTTTTAATTGTGAATTCCATTTCTCATAATAAACAGACTGCGGGGGACACTTGAGGAACTTAAACCCAGGCAAGGAAAGTTGTAACCAAAGACATCCCAGGAGTATTTTTTTCTGCTACATACTATGTGAAGAAAATCAATATTACATTAAGAGGAGTTAAATCTTTACACTGCAGGAAAGCACTTCCCTTGTCCATTTAATTAATGACGAGTTCAATAAAACAGCAGCTCTCTAGAGTGTTACCGCAAAGCCTTGAAAGATGAGCATTCTAACTCATAATGTCTTGGTATCCCATTTGCTTTTAAGTGATGAATTTAAACACTTTTGTTTTTTCATATTGAGTGCATAATATTAGCAATACCTTTGTTGAAATTTAAATAGCTAACCATTTAGCTAAAGTGCCTATTTTTTATTCATGGTATACCAGCCCAAGAATAGGCTGGCCAGTATTATCATCTTTAGTGTCTTGGGTGCAGCTAAATTAAATGGTTGCTGTTGCTATTCAATGTCTCTGCTATACTATCTGCCTGGAGAAATGTACTCATTGAGCAGTCAGACCAAAGGAAAAATAGATAAATATAAAAATGACACAAGTGTATTGTGCCATATTGTGCCATATTCAAACATTTTGTAGAGGAAAAGTTAAAGTAATTATTAAAAATATGTCTTTTAAATTATTGTTCAATTCAGTATTTTTTTCTTTTAAAGTCAACCACAGTGTAATGCCCGAATCTTACTACAATGAGACATTTCCTAAATGCAGCAGCAGCTCTATTTTGACTTTAAAGTTGCCTATAAAATGGAAATGCATCTAAAACTAAAACTCTTTTTTTTTTTTTGGTCATATAAAACTTAGTGATTTTTTTTCCTAATCAGATTATCTCTCACATTTTATTCAACTATTATTAAAAGTATAGAGATTAGGAAGAATAGTCCTAGAGTCCTAGTATCTTTCCTTCTCCAGGAAGTATTTCCACAGTGAAATAGCCTTAAGTCTGCGCTTCCTTGTAACTGATGGTGGTCGCCATACTGGATTCCATTCATATAGCAACAGCGGCCTCTAGAGGCCATCAGGATGAATAGATGTTCCTTTCAAAGAACTGGCATGATTTAATTGTAACAAAAATTGTCCATTTTCTAAAAGAAACCAAAAATGTTATGCATGACCGCTATTCAAACTCAAACCAGATTCACCCAGTTCAGAGGACTCTTAAAACACTGATCAGGATGTCACACTTGACTCACTAGCCCAGATTTTATCTTCACTTTTCATTCTTTGGACCTAATTCTTTCCTGGGAATCCTTAGCTCCTTTACATGGACGAGGAAAGTCACTTCACATAGTGTTTCTGATACAAACTGTGATGCTGGTGGGCCCCTGCTCGAGGTGACTTATGTGACTTATCCCACCACTGGATTTCTCAGGGAGGCATAGACTCAGGCTGGAGCAAGACATTTCTGTTTGTAGGGAAGGAAAATCAGACCCAAGCCTTCTGGGTCCTTGTTTTTCTCTCAGAAAAGAATTTCATGAAAACATGAGCAGTGAACTATAACATTTTATTTGAAGAGTATTTTTGTTTAAGGACAGAGAAGGAGAGAAAGAAAGGGAGCGGGAATAACACACTCAAGAGAGAACGTGGGCTTCTCCAAAGGCAGAGAGAGCTTTTAGTACACAGCTCAGGAGGGAAGATGAGGGGGACACATGTGCTCGGGCACCACATGAGCTTGGCCATGACACATGGGGACAAGAAACACATGGACTCAGGCAGCATTTGCACGCACTTCCTTTGTTCAAGTTACTTTCTACAGTGTTTTTCCTAAGCTGCCCTATGTGGGGCTTTCTACCTAGGTTAGAGTCTGTTGCTTGGGCGATTGCCAAGGGAGTAGAGTTGGGAGTGGTTGATGGTCTTCTTTGAAATCTTTTCTCTTTTGCCTTTGTTCCTGCTGGAGCTTCTCTCAGAGGGGGGATCCACCCTTCTCTGGGTCTGCTGGTGCCAGTAAGGTCTTATCATGACTTAATTTCTGTGTCCGCAAAGTGGGTTCTGACAGCCTTAAGGCTAAAGGGCTATTACTTCCTAGGAATCCCTTGCCTTGGTAGCCCTTTCCTTGGTTTGTAAAGTCTCTATCACTCTCATGATTAGGCTAAGCATACCTGGGTATCAGTACTAATCTCTCTAACTCATGACTCATAATCCCAAAATAATGCCAGAAGGAAAAATCTCTTCAGATTCCCATAGGGTCACATAGTTAAAGGGATTAGAGTGAAGAATTCATTGATGCACCATTATTTTGTCTATAAAACTGGGGCGCGCTAAGCTCTTTATATCTATCTATGTATCTGTATGTATGGTTCTATGTGTACTTATATATCACATTAGTTAGCCCTCTTTTACAACAAAGAGCAAAGTCTTGGAAAATTTGAATAAATTAAACACATTACTATAAAATGGCAGTGTCATGCTTTAAATCCAAGTCTCCCCAATCCTGCCTTGCTTTTATCATGACCCAAATTCTTTTTCATTTGTTTTTCTTTTGGTGGTGGTCAGGGGACCATATGGGATGCTGGGAATCGAACCCTGGTAGGCCACGTGCAAGGAAAACGCCCTACCCGCTGTGCTATCGCTCCAGTCCCATGATCCTAATTCTTATACTGTTCTGTGCTATGTCTGTATCTTACTGTGTATGAACAAAAATATGAGCTAAATGATTTGAAAAGTATTTTAGACCCACTAAAGATTACAGCTGGCACTAGTTTTTTTTTCTAGTAATCATTACACAAATCCATTTTGTATATGCTTGAGTAATTCAGGAATTAGCTAATTTGACATATGCTAAATTAATGGTAAGTCTACAAGAACAGAAAATGTTTATTGTCAACAGTATTATTTCACTTTCAAAGTTGATTATTTCACGGATTAGCTTTGGGATTACATTTACATTGTAAACTACCATTGAACTACAAGAAGTGATACTGCTTTAGATTCTAAATTGTTTTTAGTTTCTAAAAACAATATTTTGCAAAATAATCTACGTTTTCTTATGTTTGTAACTCTGTGGTCATTTTTTGAATAATTAAGTTTTGGGATCCTAGGGTGAATGCAGAATCATCTGCAATCACGTGGGCATTGTATATTGATCATCATGCTGTGCATATACTTAGCCCCAAGCCCTATGAATATACTTTTTTGATTCTTGTTTTGTTCTGGCTCTTGTGTTTCTTTTCCTTGCTTCAAGCATTCTTTTTATATCCCACTTGCTTATTTGCTCTTCCTTAAAATGTTGTGTCTCCTAATAGCCACAGATGTTTTTCTTAATTATTCTATTTTAATCCTGAGGTCTCTGTGGGTCTTGCCTTACAGATGTGTGGGTGTAGCATTGGAAGGATGTGCTTTAATACTTACTTGGCTGATCTGTCTTGTTAGCTCATGTTTGAGTCCTGTTTCCTTATCTTGCATTCCCAGTGCAGGCTGCCATAGTGGAAACCGTATTTATTCATCACCATTTTGTCTTTATTGCAGAACCTTGATGCTCTACACGATCATCTTGCGACTATCTATCCAGGCATGCGGGCACCCTCCTTTAGGTGCACTGATGCAGAAAAGGGAAAAGGACTCATTCTGCACTATTACTCGGAGCGGGAAGGACTTCAGGATATTGTCATTGGAATCATTAAGACGGTAGCTCAGCAAATCCATGGCACTGAAATAGACATGAAGGTAACGCTCTTGATCAAAGATACTTCTTGACACAGATGACATATGGAATCTTAAAAATGACACACTTCAATTTACCTTTAGTTCTTTTACTGCTGGTACACCTCAAGAGAGGTATATTTGGGCTATCATAGTAACAACACAAGCAATCTTCTGCATTTGGAATTGAAATTGTATTTGGAATTTATATAAGACAATGTTTTCCCTGTGACAGCAAATTTTTCTTTCAAATGATGGATTTCTTAAAGAGAAATGAAATTTACTTTGCCTTCTGGTAAGCACATATCAGAAAATGATATGACATCCCTGCCTGAACTGTGCCCTTCAGAATAGAAAACTCACACACTGATATGTGACTAGTAAAAATCTGAAATATCATAAAATTGAATATTATTTTATACTGACCCACAGTTATTTATTATTTACTTTTCTGTGCATGAGTTAGAATAGTTCATGTTGTTAGCTTGAAGAGTTCTGTTATTGCTGTTGTTACTTAGGGAAGGAATACAAGTCTCATATTTTGAAATTATGTCGCCAAATGGTTTTTGGTATATTGTGTCTACTCTTGTTTTTGACTTTAATTTATCTAAGCACAGCAAAAACACTTAATTCAGGATAACTCATGGCAATTGAGGGGCTGAAGAGTAGAATGCTATGGTCATTCAAGTTATTGACTTTGGGGTTGACAGAATAAGCACACTAAATAATATTGACATTTTTACTCAATTGTATGGTCTCTAACATACACAATCCCGAATTTGTTTTATGACTTTCTTACATTCAAATGTTCTGATACAGGTTTCTGAAATATCTTCATCTTATAATTGACTTCTACATTTATTGTCAAAGCTATTGTTTATATTTTATGAACTAGGTCAGAACCACCAGTATAACCACATTAAAAATTTTGTGTCTTGGGGCTGGAGCAATGGTACAGCAGGTAGGGCATTGGCTTGGCCTATAGCAGATCCCCAGCCTCCCGTACTGTCCCCCAAGCCTGCCAGGAGTGATTTTTAAGTCCAGAGTCAGGACACACAGCAAGGTGTGACCCAACCCTTCTCCTTCACACAAAAAAAACTTTAACATTATGCTTTGTCAGGAAGTGGTATGCCACAGAGATTAAAAATATCAGAAAAGCTTAATCAAAGCCAGATTCATCAAAGCCAAAGTATAGAATTTAGAACTTACTGTATCAGGGACACATGTAATTCAGTCCTTTTAGCTAAAATGGAAATGGAGTAGAACATTACAATTAAAACCAAATTGCAAGGTTGATTTTTTTTTCTTATGGGTCATTAGGAAAGAAATCTCACAGAGCATAATTTTCTGATCATAAGTAATTACACTAATTTTTAAGTAGAGTAGTAGATTACCATGACAAGTACAGTAGTAAGAGCCTAATTGTGCCCTGAAAGTTTTCTGAGAGAATATATACAATGGCATCCCATTAGCTGTGACTCTTCTGAAATCTGAGAATACAGTGCAGTGAAGTAATAAAGAAAATAAAAAGGAAGGTGAACCCCATTTTTACTTCCTTATGCTAAGAGTGAAGAAAAAGATCTAACTCTGTCATTTGCTGTAGTTGAAATAGACTTTTCCTGTCTAAGTGCATGCATTACTTACTGTTACTGCAATCAAGAGAACAAACATTTGCTATACCCTAAAATATATTTCAATCACTTATTAAGGTTTTTCCTTTTCATAATTGCTATTCGTTCCATAGGATGAATTCTTAGAGTTGAGGTGAAATCAAAGAAGATGCACTTTTTTTATTTTTTAAGTTATTTGTTTATTTAGTTTCATCGTATTGAATCACCATGAGATACAGTTACAAGCTTTCATGTTTGAGTTACAGTCACACAATGATCAAACATCCATCCCTGCACCAGTGCACATTCCCACCACCAATATCCCCAGTATACCCCCCTTTCCCACCCTCCCACTGCCTCCATGGCAGATAATATTCCCCATACTCTGTCTCAACTTTGGACATTATGGTTTGTAATACAGATACTGAGTGGATAAGATGCACTTTTTAAAGGGATTTTTAAAACATGTGATCAATCTACCTTTCAGAAAGATTAAATCAATCTACCTGCCCAGTAGTGTCATCTGAGTTGACTGTTTCCTACATGATTTAGTATATATACTCTGAGATGCTTGCCTATTAATTATAAACATCATAAATATTTATGATTAATAATGTCATTGCATGTATTTTCAGATGTGTATCTCTATATTTTAGTCTCATCCTATTTGCAAATCATTTTACTCGAGTGAAATAGCACAGTTTTGTATGGTTTATAGGTTCCTAATGCACAATTTTCATGACAGAGGGCACTGAACCCATCAGGAAAAGAAGGTTGTCAATGAGTCCTTCTCATTCTCCCTAACAAACCAGAAGCGCTCCTGAGAATTGACATCAACTTTTCAGTTTTGTTGTACAGAATTATTCAATAGATATAAACTTTATAAATCAATGTCCAGAAACAGAATTGTATTTTGGATATACGTAGTGTTTGCACAATTAAAATTATCTAAAAAAAAAACCCTCTGAAAGCAATTCTCCAAATGAGTGCCTTAGATATTCACGTATCTTCATTCAGATGAAAGGCAGATAATTAACACCAGTTTTCCCGCTGATATCTAGGTTATTCAGCAGAGAAATGAAGAATGTGATCATACGCAGTTTTTAATTGAAGAAAAAGAATCCAAAGAGGAGGATTTTTATGAGGATCTTGACAGATTTGAAGAAAACGGTACCCAGGAATCACGGATCAGCCCATACACTTTCTGCAAAGCTTTTCCTTTTCACATCATTTTTGATCGGAACTTAGTGATCACCCAGTGTGGTAATGCTATCTACCGAGTGCTCCCTCAGGTAATGGGACTTCCTGGGGGCTAAGATGCAACTGTGAAACAGGCCATTTATCGTTCCTCCCTCTGTTTTTTATAAGATGCCATGAACTGCATACCTGTGCATAGTTTAAATGTTTCACTGTGAACTGTGTCTTTGAGTGGACTGTAACTTTTCCTTAGATTTGTTTTCTATTGTTATTACTTATAATGCCAGTGGGGAAATTATATGTAAGTGACATATTTGTTTTAATAACAAAATGTAGAACAGGTAGCAATCTGCTGTCACTCGTCACTTATGTATTCATTCATTGAATCATAGTCATTGGACATCTACAGAAACTAACTTCCAAGGAAGACATTGTTTGTTTTGTTTTGACAGTAAATATTATAAATATTCTTTTGTCTCCTCTATCTTTTGCTTGAGGTCCTGAACCCAAGGCCGTAATTCTTCAAGGTCTATGCTCTACCATCAAGCTCCAGCCCCAGCCATAACTTTTGGAGTTGTGCAGGACATTTGTCTAGAAATGTCTTGATACCTTTTGCTTGTAGTTAAGAAGACATGATTCATTTCAGTGAGATATGATGTAAAATATTAATTCTTGAAACAAAATAGAGTGTAGCCTTGCCTCTCTGATTATATAATTTTCAGTTCATCAGTACATTTCTTAGCCTCTCTTTGCCCATTTTCCTTTTGTTTTAACATTAGAATAGAAAGGACATGAAGAAGATTTAATCAAATGCCTGACCTATTTTGAGTAGTTAGTAACTGTAACTTATTATTTATTATTATTATTATTGTCTCTTGGTAAATATTGAATTTTGATACCTTGTGCCATATTTTAAAGGACATTTTTCATTTTATAAAACAACTTTTATTTAGTTTATTTGTAGTGTTATAATAGAATATTAACAAATCTTGATAAATGTTATATTTTATGTCTATAAATTTATTCAGTGCCTTTTTAACAGCAGAGTTGCATAGCTCAGAAGTAGTCCAGGGGCCAGAGAGATGATACAGCTAGTAGGGCACATGCCCTGCATGCAGCTGACCTGGGTTCAGTCCCTGAGCACTGCCAGGAGTAATTCCTGAGTACGAAAACCAGGAGCAACACCTGAGCATTATAGGGTTTGTCTCAAAGGTCAAAAAACGGAAAAAGATCAGTCCATAATTAGAGTATCTTCTTTGTTTGTTTGTTTTGTTTTGTTGTGTGATATCTTTTATACATAATTATGTTTTCTACTTTTAAATATTGCTGAGTTATTTAAAGTAACAATTGGTATCAGATTATTAAAATCATTTGATTACTTAAATGTCCTACTTGCTTTGATCTATCTTTCAGCTCCAGCCTGGGAATTGCAGTCTTTTGTCTGTTTTCTCTCTGGTCCGGCCTCATATTGACATCAGTTTCCACGGGATCCTTTCCCACATAAATACTGTTTTTGTATTAAGAAGCAAGGTAATCCAAGAAGAGGGAAAATTAACTAGAGCCGCATCCTATGAGTAGAGAATGTATAGAAACCATTGCCAAAGCCAGTTTGACTTCAAAAGTGATGCTAATGATTTTGGGCTTTAAAGGAAGTGGGGCTTTTGTCAGCTGATCAGAATGAACAAGAATAAGTTTTGACAAAGCATTGCTGAGACAGATCAATGTTCTATAATGAAACCAACTCTATATAACTACAGTATCCTACTTTATAAATCAGGAAAAAACCTGATAAATATTTTTTAAACTTTACCTGAAGCCAGTGATTTTGCAGTTTGTCTGTCGTCTTTGGTATTCTTTTTGTGTGAAAATAGGCTTAAAACATCACTCACTGATAATTTAAACAGTGGCCATATCGTATAGTTTCTCAAACCCGGGGACATACAGAGCAAACTCTTATATATATATATATATATATATATATATATATATATATAATCCTTATTGTCATCCCTACACATGTAGGTATGATTGTAGGTATATATTGTAGATATGTGTAGGTATATATCTTACCTACACATACTTTATATGATTGTAATTAAATATTTTCTGCTGCTCCAAGAATGGGGTGAGGGGCAGAGATTTTTGGTTTATTCTTGAATAGAAGCTGATATTGCATGTTGTAGCTATAAGGAAAAATAAGAAATAAAATGTTGATGTTTTAAATAAATATGTGAACAGTACAACCATTGCTGTCTTTCTACTAGGTTTAAGAGAAAATAGTCAGTTCACTCTTCTGTGGTATTTTCAGATACTATTTTAAAAATGAAGAGGTAGCTTATATAACAGCAGGCAGAATTCTGGTGGAATGCTATCTTCTGTTGTAACTAGAGCACATATTTTGTGTGTGGCTTTATCTCTTGATGGTGGGATATAGGGTCTGTGTGTTCTTTTATTGAATTATCTGGTAGGTAGGAATACAGATACTGATTAATGGATATGTCTTTCCTTTTTAAGGAAGGATTGTTGGATGTTGAAAAATTAGAATGTGAGGATGAATTAACTGGGACAGAGATCAGCTGCTTACGTCTCAAGGGTCAAATGATCTATTTACCTGAAGCAGACAGCATACTTTTCCTCTGTTCTCCAAGGTAATACTTTCCGTATTAATTACTACAGATATAAGTGTTTGATATTTGCTAATAAGATGATGCAATAACATTGAATTTAACAGTATGTCATCTTCTGAAATATAATTAGATTTCATGATCCTTGCTATGTATCTTTCTATAAAGAAGATTATTTCACTTAATAGTAAACTCGAAAGAAATTATGGCCCCTATTTTATTTACATGGTTTAATCAATGTGCTGAGTATTTTTGCCACTGGATCACTGGAAAACTAATTTGCATTTCATTATTTTTGTACCTTTGTATCTTCCAAAGACATACCATATAAAAATAATTTATTCCATGAGGGTGTTCATAAGATATGAAAAATCCATAGGCACCAAAAAATTAATGTTCTGATTATTCCTGAATTTGATTAATTTTACAGTTAAATATTTAGAATCTATTTAAACTATTAGATATAAGTCTGTGTAAATTATGTTACTTGAACTAAGCATCAGACTGGAGCAATAGCACAGTGGATAGGGCATTTGCCTTGCTCAAGGCCAACCCGGGTTCGATTCCTCTGTCCCTCTCGAAGAGCCTGGCAAGCAACCGAGAGTATCCCACCTGCATGGCAATGCCTGGCAAGCTCCCCATGGCGTATCTGATATGCCAAAAACAGTAACAATAAATCTCACAATGGAGATGTTACTGGTGCCCGCTCGAACAAATTGATAAACAATGGGACAACAGTGCTACAGAACTAAGCATCAGAGGCAAATGAAACTGTATGCTGGTGTTTTCTCTGGTTTCCAAGTATTTCCCTAAAAGACATTTGGAAATTGAAAATAATAAATGCATATCAGTTCTCCTCAGATGACTGTGCAACTTATTCCATGACACTTCTTTTGTATTTATAATTGGTATATCCAAAAGATTTTCTTATTATTTAGTAACACAGTTAAGAAAAGCATATTGTGGTGGGTGATCAGCTGAATGCCAAAAAAAAAAAAAAAACTACATTGATCCCTGTTCATTTATCCTGCTTCAAATTTTCAAAAATTCTAGGCCTGGATACATGGTAGGGGAGATAAAGCACTTGCCTTGCATGTGACTGCTTCGGCTGGTGCCATATATGGTGCCATATGTGGTGCCATATATGGTCCTTAAAGTACTGCCAGTGGTTCCTCCTGAACACGGAAGTAGGAATAAGCCTCGAAGACTGCCAGGTTTTAGTTCAATCCCCCCCACCATTCCCAACTTCAAAACCTCTTAACTTTTGAACACCCTCTTTAAGATACTAATATAATTTTGTTTTGGTTGGGGACAACACCTGCAGGTTCACAGGGCTTCTGGCTCTGTGTTCAGGGATCAATCCTGGCAGGACTCAGGAGACCATATGGGTTGCTGGGGATTGAACCTGGGTTGGCCACATGCAAGGCAAGTTCCCTGCCAATGTACCATCACTCCAGTTCTTTATTAATAGAATGCTAAGGCTACATAAGACTAGTGCTGAGTTCCATATATAATTTTAATCAAAAGCTATAGAACATGAGGAGATATAAACTATACATTTTGTATTAATAACACATTGATTGAACTATATCTGCTATCAATAAGTATTTTTCCTGGCCCTTTTCCAACTTCTTTAGTAAAATGATATCTTATCAGCAATAACATCTTCTGTGAGTGCAGAAAACATTTTCTTTATAAAAAGGCAGAAAACTTATAGTCTGTTAATTACCACCTGTATGAATTGATCTGTTTTTGGATCAGTAACAATAATGGGTTTCATTCCCTTGACCCTGATAGAGCCTCCAATATGGCAGTGTTGGGAAAGATGAGTAAGGAGAGGCTGCTAAAATCTCAGGGCTGGGGCAAATGGAGACGTTACTGGTGCCCACTCAAGTAAATTGATGAAGAACGGGGTGACAGTGCTACAGTGATACAGGAATTGATCACAAAGTGACATTCAAATTGTCATATGGAATTTGCTCATGTGTATAAAATACTTGTGCTCATATAAGTGAATTTGGATGAACTAAAAACACTTAAATTGTAAAAGATAATTCCAAGATAATTGTTTATATTTGTTTAAAATAATAACGTATTTTAGAACAATAAGACTTACATTTATTTCTCTCTTTTCTTGAAGCACTTTTAACCATGACTTTCCGCTTTAAGATTATAATCATTTTTGGCTTATGAGAAAGTTTTTGCATACCATTTAATAGATGATTTGGCTTCTTTCCGGAGAAATCTATTTTCTGCAAGTGAACTTTAAATTGCATGTATACATCTTAACAAAAATGTATAGAGACTTATTTTCTAGTGAACTCATTGCTCATTTCATTTTTCTAGTTTGGCCTGCTCATTTTTTTTACTTTGTTTATGAGTGTTTCTGATAAAGATATATTGTAAGTATATTGAAAATTTATTGTGCTAAAATTTTTAAATAATGTCCCATTGTAATTATTTCGTTTTAGAGAAACAATAGCTGTACAGGGCCAGAGAGTTAATAAGGCAGGTGAGAACTTGCCTTCTAAATAGCCCCAACTAGGGTTCAATCCCAGGTACCACATATGTTCTCTGGAGTCCCACCAGGAATGATCCCTGAGAACAAAGCACGGAGTAATTTAGAGAAAAGAGAGAAATAAACCCTGAGCATCACTTGTTGTACCCCCCCCCAAAAAAAAAACCAAACGCCAGAAAGGCAATTACTGTAAATATCTAGAAATAAATGTTTTACATTTAAAGAATTTAAACCAATAATGTAACCTTCTGGAATTCTAGTACATTTTTTAAAGCCCATTCACTTTTAGGCCAGAGACATTGCTCGGTAAGTTGGAACACCTGCCTTGCGGTCTTGTGAGTGTGTGATCCTGGACTCAGGTTCTCCATCCTCTGTCTCATATGTGCTGAGTGCGCAGCTGGTAGATTTGCTCTTTCAGCCTGGCTGTCCTACTGTTTGTGCCCCTGGTACCACTGAGAATAGAGGGAAAAGAGGAAAAGCAAAGAAATAAAATACACCACATTTTTAGCAGCAACAAAAAAAAGGGTCAATTTTTTAACTTCAGACACTATTTTTTTAATTAATCAAGAAACACAATTATGTTGTCCAAAATATGACATGATACAAATGAGAACCAGAAGATCAGCACATAAAATAGACAGTCAAAAATTGATCAAGATGACTCATAACTATGGTTATAAATTTTTAATAATGTCCCACAAAGGGAAAATTTTAAGTTCAAGCATAAAATCTGCAAGATAATATTTAGTTCCCCCAAAGAGCCATCCTTTTCCCTGTTAATAATAATAAAGACAACATTTTTTTCTCATATGATGAAGAAATTGTTTGATAAAAATAAGTCATAGCCTTGTGTTTAATACCCAAGTGGGTTTCATACTGGCAGTTTTCTACATTCATTTTTATAAGTTGGTGAGATTTTTTTTTTAAAGAAAATGAACAATTTGGCTAAAATGCATTTCAACTTCACTAAAATCAGATCATGTTTTTCTGTGTGCTTTATTTTTTTCCTCAATTTTATTTTTTGGGAAATGTTGGGGCACACTCAGCAGAGCTCGGGGTCAGTCCTGGCAGGGCGCTGGGGACCACAGACAGTGCTAGGAACAAACCAGTGTTGGCTACATACGAGACAAGGGCCTTCATACCTCTGCAAGGTTTGTTAAGGACTGCATGGAGGCCATTGAATGAAATAGTGACATTCCTAGAATCTAAGATCACTTTGCCCCCAGCATGGAAGATAAGACTTATGGCCCACCTGGTGACAGGAAGCCACCAGGCTGCATTCCATGCTTCCTTATATCCATACCCTACAGATATCAGGCCAGACCAAGCACATCAGTTCCATGGTTCCTTGTTCCTTTATCGCCTCTTCCTGCCCAAGACAAATTAAAAGCCCCCTTGGTCTCTCCCAGCACATGGCTCTATTCCAGCCTCACCCAAGGTTCACAAAGTTCCACCAGGGAGGGCACCCTAATAAACTTCTCCTATTTCCTTCACTTTATTCATCTCTGTTCCTTGGCCTGCGCCGGACATGGTTCCCAAATCTATCAGCCTCTACTATCATCTTTAGTCCTCGGTCAGCAATTTGGACGTTAGCAGATGACAGGATGATGCTCTGGGTTAGCGTTGTCCTGGAGCTCAGGGAAGACCTGACTTTTGCCTTGTTTCACCATATAACAGTGTGATGAATCTGGACGATTTGACAAGGAGAGGTTTGTACCTCAGTGACATCCCTCTGCATGATGCCACTCGAGACCTCGTTCTTCTGGGAGAACAGTTCCGCGAGGAATACAAACTCACCCAGGAATTGGAAATCCTCACAGACCGACTGCAGCTCACATTACGAGCTCTGGAAGATGAGAAGAAAAAGACTGACACGTAAGACAGTCCTTTTGTGATAAAATCTATTGTTTGTCTCTGGATGAGGAATAAAAATTGGAAAATAACTGGTAAGGTCACATCAAAGATACTTTGCTTAAACAAGTACACAGTATGTATATTATGTATAGCCTTGTTTGTGTCAAAACAAAATTAATCGAAAGCACTAAATTACTGACTTTCATAGAAGATTTCTACTTCTACCCAGGATCTAATTTTTTTAGCTAAAATTTTATTTATTTTCAGTGTCTCCTTTATTTTTCTTATTGAATCACCATGAGAGATACAGTTACAAAGCTGTTCATGACTGGGTTTCAGTCATACAATTCCCAACACCCATCCTTCCACCAGTGTACATTTCCCACCATCAATGTCCCCATTTTCCCTCCCACGCCTACCAATGGCAGGCACTTTCCTTCTTGAAACACAAAAGAAAACATAAGCAAAACCCTCATGACATTGAAACTAAAGGCATCGTCAAAGATGAAACACCACTGACCAAGCAAGTGAAAGCGAAGATAAACAAATGGGACTACATTAAGCTAAGAAGCTTCTGCACTCAAAAGAAACAGTGATCAAGACACAAAGACAGCTCACAGATTGGGAAAAATTACCGGATACTCATCTAATAAGGGGTTAATACCCAGGAACTATTTTTATTTTATGTTTGGCTTTGGGGTCACAGTCAGCTGTACTTAGGGCTTGCTCCTGGCTCTGCATTCAGAGATCACTTCTCATGGGGCTTGGGGAACCATATGGAATGTCATGGATTGAACCCAGGTAGGCTGCATTCAAGGCAAGCACACCCCTACCCACTGTACTATCTGTCTAGCCCCTGTACCTATTTTTAATGTTCTTATAATAGAAAGTATTCTCATTAGGAATTGCACCGATCTGACTTTCTTCCACAAGAACTGCTTCACTCTACTTGAAAGCCGAAAATATTAGTAACAACACAGCTTTCTATATTTTTCTTCCTCTCATAGAAGCGTAGTTGCCCACAGAATGATAGGACTCCTAATGAACATGTCAGTTAACCAGCCATTAAGAACATGAGTGAGATATAGAATATCATTTTAAATGACTATCTTCATCAGTAGATTCTTAATTTTCTTGCATTTATACTTTGCATGCTTCAGCTGAAATCTACATTTGTTTCCTGTAAGACCACTTTATTCTCTTCTTGGCCTTAAATTGACCCCTTTTTCTATTTAAGGTGTTTAGTAAAATTAAGAAAGAGAATCACTGAAAATCCTCTCATATCTTAAAAAACAACTCAAAATATTTTTACTTTATTGCTATTTGAAACCAAGTGGCTCATGAAAAAAATAACATTTTATGAACCTTGCAAAAGAATGCTTAGAACTAACGTTCATCCATAGATGGGTTGTAAATATGTGCAAATTTTACAAATTTGCAGCATTCAGCTGTGATTGCTAGAAAAATCTGATGTTAGAAAATCATTTGGCATTCTTTATTCTTAGCTGTATGTTTTCTAGCTAATTAAATGTAAACAATTTATTATTAGTTTTCTTTAAATCTAAGTGTTCCTATATTCACCTTAATTATTCAAATGTTTTATTAAAGATTGCTGAAGGTAACATGTCCCAGTGATAAAGTGCATGCTGGAGACCTTCCATTCCATCACCTGCACCTCAGGGCAAGAAAATATTGAAAACAAAAGACTGGGAAGATTCCACTTAAATATCTGGAATCTGCCCTCTGGCTACTGAAGAAAAAAAGGTTCTGAGTTCCTCAGGCTCTCTGGTTTCTGCTCCTGTCCCTGTAACCCCCTGAACTTGCATCCAGGGCTGCTTTCCCCACTGGTTCCTGCAGTATGATCCCCGATATCATTGTAGTTCTACAGATGTTGACTATAGACATAATCTTACTTAGGTTAGACAGGTTCTGCCTATGTTATTAATTTCTTCCATGAAGGATAGGGCTATGAATGAGCTGGCTGATTTGATATTACTTTACAACACATGAGAAAGGTTATTTCTGAGAAACAAATATGTTTCTAGTTTGTGCTAGTTAATGCAATCCTTGAAGTGCCAGTAAAGACACCTCTTATAGAGTTAATATCATAAACTATATTAAATTAATATCTAAAAGTAGAGCTAGATATCAGGGCTACCAAAGAAGAACTTTGATTTCCCATTGTCAGCCCTTTATTTTGTTTGCTTGGCTTATTTTTGGAAAAGTTTTGACCTTGGAATATTTTAGGTGGTTAAATAGTACACATGATTTATGTCCTTACATATAAATATGACTTATATTTGATGCAAACTTTAAAGCATCCAGGAAGTCCGAGTCTGTTCAATGTAAATGACATTGCTCTTCTAAAATTGGATGGAGGCAGTGATGCTTTCCCCAGCATGTCTTAGCATGGCTTTTTCTCCAAATCACTCAACAGGTTGCTCTACTCTGTCCTTCCTCCCTCTGTGGCCAACGAACTGAGACATAAGCGCCCTGTGCCTGCCAAAAGATATGACAATGTCACCATCCTCTTCAGTGGCATTGTGGGATTCAATGCTTTCTGTAGCAAACATGCGTCGGGAGAAGGAGCCATGAAGATTGTCAACCTTCTCAATGATCTCTACACCAGATTTGACACACTGACTGATTCCCGGAAAAATCCATTCGTTTATAAGGCAAGTCCCCATGAGAGTCTCTGATTACAGTGTGATTTAGATCAAATTCTTGGGGCCTCACCCCTAAAGTCACACCCTTCATAATGTTCCCACTCTGGCCTTGATCACCTTGTATAGAGTAACTATTTATCTTTACTACTTAACTCTTTTTATAAAACATTCTCTTTCTTGTCACCCAAGAGAATGGAGAGATAATTGCCTTGTGAAAATGAAGAAGCTAGCAGCTTTTATATGCTCACATTAATAAGATTGTGCAGGTTATTTATCACACATAGTTTAAATATCCCATTGGTTTTAGCGCCCTGGAAGAGACTTTTTTCGTACCAAGTTATATAGAGGCTTTGTGTGGTGACATTAAAAAGTAGGAGAATGGGACAGTGACAGAATTGTTTGTAGGTGATTCTAACCTAAAGCAAACACTTAAGGGTACTTATGCCCTTTGCTTCAGTCAGAAACAAATAGAACATGGGAAAATTAAAATGAGTAGGTTAGTGCTTCATCAAGGCAAGTATGTTAAGGATACAATTCCCAGGCACCTGGAGAATAGATGTGCCACAGATACTATTTATTTTGTATTTTTTTTTTTGCAATGACAGTGTTACACTTGGTGATCACCTCATATAAATAAATAGTTGACAGCTGTGATAGATCACTCAACTACCTTGGCTCTTGTGTTATCAAACCATCACTGTCTTAGGAAAAATTTGCTTAGAATTTGTTCTTCTGAATCATGAGGGTATCTGAGGAAAGAAGTGAGAATTTATTAGAGGAAAGCCAAGCTGTATCACATAGACCTATAACCAGAGATAGCTGTTAAAATAATTAAAATAACTCCAACAATTCATCTTGTTGGAAGTTGAATGTAGTAGAAAAATTAAAGACACTGGAGTGGAAAGTTTAAAATTAAAATTATTGATAGCATAGGGAAAATATTCTTGGTATTTGTGTAGCAAAAGAAAAAACGTCTTTTTACTAACCATTGAACATCTGTTTCAATGAACATGTCTGTGGTAGGTGGAGACTGTTGGTGATAAGTACATGACAGTGAGTGGTTTACCAGAACCATGCATCCACCATGCTCGATCCATTTGCCACCTGGCCTTGGATATGATGGAAATTGCTGGCCAAGTTCAAGTTGATGGAGAATCTGTTCAGGTTAGTAAAAAAAAATTAAGAAGTTATTATGGTAGACATCATAGTCTTTATAGAACACGAATGCATATTCTTGGCCAAGAAATTACTAATTATGTACAAGGAAGACCATCTTGATAGCTAACATTCTGATAATATATTGCACCCATGTACCCATGTTATTAATTTTATTTATAGAAATGGGATATATGTTCACCAGCTTGAAATCATTTAGTCTGTCACATAGACTGGAAGCCATAAGGATAAACTAAAACCACCTGTTCATTCTCCTTAGTACTGTTGGTTTTGGAGGTGAAGGAAGTGTTTCACAAGCGAAGCTCTGGGAACCTAGGCCCTGTGATAGTCAGTCCATCAGCCAGATAGCTCAGTGCTTAGGCTGGGTGCTGCAGTGTTGTTCAGACAAAGCAGCTGGAGACCACCGGCAACTCCTGATAGTGCTCTGGGGCCTCCAACCCTACACCTGTGGATCTGGGGGCATTGGGGCCCCTGGTGCCAGGGATTGAACTCCATCCTTGCACAGATAAAGCCCATGCCATCACCCCATTGTCTCTAAGCTATTTCCCTGACCGTCTCTGGTTACTTTTTAGAAATCTTTCTCACGTGTCTCACACAAGTTGCTAGAGTCACATCTATTAAATCTTAAAACTGTAGAAGGTTTCTTTTGGAAAACAGATTTTTCTCATTTCAGGGTTTGGGTTTTGTCTGTTTTATACTTGTTTTATACTCTAGAGGATTTTTAGGATTTTTTTTTTGTGCTGATAACTGTTCATCATCCTGTAATTAAAAGTAATCAGCAGTGAGTGTGTCTGGGAACGAAGTTGTTGCAACAGAGCTCTGCTTTCTGCAGATAACAATAGGGATCCACACTGGAGAGGTCGTGACCGGGGTCATTGGCCAGAGGATGCCTCGTTACTGTCTTTTTGGCAATACTGTCAACCTCACAAGCAGAACGGAAACCACTGGAGAGAAGGGGAAAATAAATGTGTCTGAATATACATACAGGTAAGAGAACGTCTTGGTATTTGCAAATTTACAAGAACAAAAAATGTTCTTTTTGTGACTTAACTCGCTGATGTTGCTAGCTGTGACCGTTGTCACCTAAGGGTGTCTTTAATTCTACTTGAAATGGCTCTAGGTCCTCTGTGGAACTCCTGCTGGATAACCATGACAATCTGGGCTTACCTTTGAATGCCACTTTCTTTCTGTCTTGATCTACAGCTTTGATCTTGTTGCTTTTCCCACACCTCTCACCTTTCTACTCATGCCCTGCCTCCATAGGTGTCTCATGACCCCAGAAAACGCTGATCCTCAATTCCACTTGGAGCACAGAGGCCCAGTGTCCATGAAGGGCAAAAAGGAGCCAATGCAAGTTTGGTTTCTCTCCAGAAAAAATACAGAATCAGAGGTATGACTAATCGGCATAATTCTTTTTTTTTTCCCTTAGTGTAAATATGGGAGCATATTCACAGAAAATGTTTCCTCTAGACAGAATTCTTGCTTAAGACCATAAACTTTTAAGTCAGGTAGCAAAATTGTGACCCATGTATATGCCACATTGAGCAGTTAACACGGCTCAGGAAAAATGCTATGGTGACCAGCTTTTGGCCTGCAGTGAAATTAAAACCCCAGGTCCCCCAGGGAGAAGACGTGCTTTGGATCTAGTTCTTTCCCAGGAATTCAGCTCAAAGGGGGATATTGTAAAAGAACCTTCTGGCTTTTGCTCATCCAGCCCCCAGGTCTCCTAACATCACCTTCAGGGCCTAGTCAGGGTTGGGCTAAGGAAAGTTCTTCTTTGTTTGTTTGTTTGGGGTCAGTGATGCTCAGGGCTTACTCCTCTTTGCTCAGGGATTAATCCTGATGGTGCACAAGGACCTTTTGTGGTTCTGAGGATCATAGCAATTTTGCTACATCTAAAAAAAAATAAAATAAAAAAAAAAGCTGCGTACCTGCTATTCTCTCTCTCCTGCTATCAGAGGGTGGTGGGACAGGGGTGTACCTTGATAGTGAAAAGTCAGATCTTTGAAGGCCTCTCCAGCGAGTGACTCGTGATCTTTGGGATTCATAGTCCTCCCACAGACAGGAGCTAGTATCATCCAGAGTTGACGTGGTTCTGTAAGGAAGTTGGTACTCTGGTTGAAAGGATGGCAGGCGTCCTGCCATGGTGAACATTAGAACTGGGCCTCACCCCTTGACTCAGCGTGGGACTGGGCACGGGACCTCCTGCCCAACTATTTCCCACCCAGCCTGCTGCCTCAGAAGCAAGTCTGTTGCTTTGTTCCCAGGCTGTCATTGGTCCTTTGGAGGTGGTGAGATTACTTGATTACATTTTTTTCCCCTCTATGTATACAGTGCCTGAAACTGCTTTTAAGTATATAACAAGTTCCCAAAAGAATGAAATACCAAGTTTTAAAATATTTATCTTAAACCTCCTCCAGCTGTTTTTCTTTCAAATCATTTACTTATGGGGATGGCATGCCTGCTCATTTTCTTTGGAACCACTAAGTTATCTCCAGTATGGCTATTGGGTGGTCCCAACTCACCCAGAATTGCGCTGGGGATGACTAGGAACACCAGAGAGAGGATGCACAGAGAATATATCCTTTAGGAAAAGTCCCAAGGAGTTCTGGGAGCCTTATTATTGTTACACATCAGATCTGTATCTCCCACTATTTTCAAAGGAAACACAGCAGGATGATAACTGAGCCTCGGATGGTCGGATGAAGAGGACGGAGGATTACTGCTAACACAGACCAGCAGAGGAGAAGGTTGCCTGTGGAGTCTGATTGTTTGCTTTGTCCTTTTCAGTTATCCTTGGCCTTTCTCCTAGGTATATCTTTTACTATTCACTATTTAACTTTATCTCTGCTTCCAATTATTTTTCAGGTTTTTCTATATTCTGACGTTTGGCTTTAGAGGTGAATGATGTGAGCTTTATGTGTCTTAACATCCACTACAAGCCCCACCTAAATGGTGATTTGCAAGTAGTGGGCACCCAATAAATATTTGTTGAATTTATTAAAATGAAACTGAGCAGTCTTTGGCCAACTGGCTAGCTAACCATGGTTTGCCAATTCTGTTTAGTGTTCCCTATATATGTATATTTTCATGACGATAGCCTATATCGAAGTTTCTATTGTGTTGGTTGGCATAAATCATTGTAGAAATCATTTTATAAAGGAGTGAATTCTTAGATTTAGGGGAAATGTGATTTATTTTCAGACTTTCCAAATAAGAATAAATAGACCAGGCTAAGAAAATAGTGACTATTTTGAAGTATGCTTCTTTCCCTTTGGTAATATAGAATATACTTTTCTGTTACTAAAATGTTCGGTTGTTCATTCAAATCCTATGGCAATTGTGATTCCTCCAAAATGCTATCTTTTGTATGTTATCCCTGCATTAAATCTCCCTAGCCACACACAGCTGTGATGGAAACCTTGAGCTGGTGATGCATTACCTTGGGATGAATGTGGGGTTCTTACCACATCCTCAAGTAAGGAGAAAAGCACTGCTTTTCTGGGATCTGCCTGATGGTCAGAGCCATCTTCAGCCTTTTACTCCCGGAATTAAACTTTGTCTTAGTTGAGAAGCACATGACTCCATCTAGAGCTTCCAGCTAAGAAATATTAATTTATATTGACATAGAATGCTTTCTGATTGGGCTAATAATTGACCCGTTGTTCTTTAATGTCTCCAAAAATATATGAATGTCTATCTTTTTAAAATAGAGTGCAACTACTTTTGTGTAAAAAAATGCTTGTCTTTATATTTAGTATTTCATATCAGCACATCAATATATGTATAAATGTTCCATGTTAATGTGTAAAAGAATTGGCAATAAATTATTTTTTCCACTTGTCTCTAGGAAGTTTGTTCATGTCAATAAAAATGATTGTGACATTGTTATGACTTTATTCATCCCATTTATAAATGCATTTTATAACTTAATCTTATATATTTTAAATTAATTTGATGTCATGCTTTAATTTTGATGATCAACTTGAATGGTCTTCTTCAGTAGGTATTTTTATATTTCTCTAAGATTATTTTCCTTCAGTATCTCGCCCACACAGCAAAGCCTGGCAAGTCCCTATAGTATATTCGATATGCCAAACACAGTAACAAGTCTCACAGTGGAATGTTATTGGGCCCGCTCGAGCAAATCAATGAACAATGGGAGGACAGTGACAGTTATCAACAAAGTGATGGGAATTAGATTAGATCTAGAGGAGAGATAGATGGATCATAGACCTGGTATAGTTCACAATCTTCTAGGAATGAACTGTACCTATACATATAACTAATATGTATAGTTCTCAGTATGGAAAAATATGTTTAAGATAGAAGAAAACTTAAAGAATGAAAAAAGGAGGACCCGAAGCAATAGTACAGCGGGTAGGGCGTTTGCCTTGCAAGTGGTTGACCTAGGTTCCATCCCTGGCATTCCATATGGTCCTCCCAGCACCGCCAGAAGTAATTCCTGAGTGCAGAGCCAGAAGTAACCCTGAGCATCGCCTGGTGTGATCAAAAAAAAAAAAGAATGATAAAGGAGAGGACAAAGAAAGGAAAGGCACAGAGACCACCACAGAGAATTTCTATGATGGTAGAGTTCTGAGACCTTCACTGGTGCTCAGAATCTGCTCCTGCCTGAGCAACCAGTACTTTCAGTTTCTCTCCTGTTCAGTCTTCACACACAAAATCGCACTTGTGGCATTGACCAGATGTGGCTTAAGAATCTTTAATTAACTTCCAAATTCAATGAATATAAATAATCCTTGTCTCTGTTACCTTGACTTTGTGAACTTTTTCTTAATTTTTTTTCTCTTTCTGTGTAACTATTTCCCAACATTTTAATTTAACATTTAACATTTAACATTTCCCAACATTTAATTCACATTTTAAAAAATAATAGTAGAAAATTCTTGTCTTGTATTTACAGTGTTGCTACTGCTCACCCACCACCAGAACATTAGGCTCCCTCTACTGTTGGTCCAAGGCAGCACCTCCACCCTCTCTTTCCTCTGTCTGACCCTCACCTGCAGTACCCACCCACCGACACACACACACACACACACACACACACACACTCAGATCGCAGTTCTGTAGACCATATCTCAGAGATTTTTCCGCCAACATTACCTAATCCCTTGCTAATTTTTTTATACTCCATAAGTGAGTGATTTAATTTATGCTTCTTTTGTCTGAATCACTTAGAATAACTTCCTCCAAGAAGTTGCTGTGAACAGCATGATTTTGATCATTTCACATAGCTGAGTAATATTACAAATATTCCATTCTGTAGATATACCAGACTTTTTTCATCCACTCATCAGTTGTTGGGTATGCCTTCCCCCCACCCCCCCATGTTGCTTGTTGTAAATAATTCTGCAAAAAACATATGGGTATAGGATGTCCTTTGGGGTTAATATTTTTATGTTTTTTTCCCCAAAATTCTTTTATAAAGACTACACCGTTCCTTTCAATGTTAGGTCCGGCAGTGTGGTACAACCAGTTATTGTTTAGTGTCGGGGGGGGGGGGGGGAGCACACCGAAAGCTGCTCTGAGGGAACTGTGTGGTGTTTGGAATATCTGGCTCACTCACACTAAGCATGTGCTCTTTCATTCACACTATCGTCATGGCCTTCCCAGCATTTTTGGTAAAAATTTCGAAGCATAAGAAAATAAGCCTTTGTACAGCTCTACATCACTATACTTATTCTGCAACTTATTCTGAAGCTACAAAACTCTACTATAGTCCCCACAAAAACTTTTACATTCATTTTCTAGATTTCTGTATTCTGCTGAAATATTTTTGAGCTATAATACAGTTAATATAGAATTATTCTTTGAAGTGTATTCTTCAATACTTACAAGTTTGTACAACTATTGAAAGCTGGATTATTTTTATTGCCTATAAGTATTAATATGTTTTCCCAATTTACTACTTTCTGCAGCCTCTCCCAACTCTATTTCTAAGGATTTGCTTGTTTTGAATTGTTGATATAGATGGAATCTTTTAAGGGTGGTCTTTTATGTGGTTTCTTCCACTTGCTATGTTTTCAGAATCATAAATCTTGTATCAAATATCAATCAATATTTCATTACCGATAGTGGCTGAAAATAGCTTATTTTATGGATAGTATATATTATATCATATACACTGTATATATTATACTTAATATAGTATATATAATATTATAATTATATTTAATATACTATATAACATTATATAGTATATTATATATAATGTATAGTACAGAAAGATAGTAAGTGGGTGAGGCTTCCTTGTATATGGCCATCCGTGACTCAAGTTCCAGCTCCACATATGATCCCAGGAGCAATGTTAAGAATTGCTCATGGTAAGTGGTAAGAAGAGCAGTGTCAAGTGTGACTCCTGAGTACACCTAGGTGGGTCCAAAAACAAAACCAATAAAACTGTTTCGATTTAAATTTTTTTAGCTCTAGAGTCATTTAGTGTTGAGTTCTTACATATTTTTATTAGTTATGTATGGTGCCCTGAGCATTGTCAGGAGAAACTCCTGAGCACCGAGCCAGGAATAGCCCCTGAGAACTACAGGTTATGCCACCCCTCACCTCCCAAATAAAACACTGCTAATAAAATTTGTGCCTGAAGGTTATTGTGCTTTTTCAATACAGCAAGGATTGATTTAGAAGGAGAAACACCTGGCGGAAGTAAGGGCCTTTCCAAGTTCATTGTGTGGGCCTCATTCAAGGGTGCAGTACAATTGGAGACTCACTGAAGCCAAGTCAAACTTCAAAATTAAGTGCACAATAAAATTTTCACTGTTGGGGATATGAAATGAGTAGGCTCCTTGGATAGTGGTAGGTGATATGATTAAACAGGATGAAAGACGTAGAGGAGGGAACTGAGTTTAGGAGAAAGAGCAGCACGAATAATATTTGACATGAATTTGATGTTCTTGGAATGTATTTAAAAGTGAGATGACTAATCTCTTTCCAAGTGACTCTAACATGTGTTACATAAATAGGTCTTTCACCAGATTGGGCCAAAACGATTATCCAATTCCAAAAACCCCTATTACTAGTTCTTTGATCTTGATAAAGGCACTTAACCTTTCTATAAACTTTTTTTTAATGTAATACCATGAAGTATAAAATACTAAGGTTGTTGGTAGATGTCAAGAAAATACAAAGGAGAAGGTGCCAAGCTTTTGCCTTTCCCTTTTAAAAGTACTGGGGAAAAAGTGATGCATGAGATGCATATTTGTGAATCATTAACAACAGATGTTGATAAGACTAATTTATGGACACATGTCATAAGTTCCAAGAAGGAAACACATTTTAACTTCATTGAACTTATAGGCTCGAGCAGGCCCAGTAACGTCTCCATTGGAGATTTTGTTGTTACTGTGTTTGGCATATCGAATACATCATGGGTGGCTTGCCAGGCTCTGCCGTGCGGGCGAGATACTCTCGGCAGCTTGCTGGGCTCTCCGAGAGGGGCGGAGGAATGGAACTCGGGTCGGCCATGTTGGCTGCGTGCAAGGCAAACGCCCTACCCGCTGTGCTATCGCTCCAGCCATGTTGCACGCAGCCAACATGGCCGACCCGAGTTCGATTCCTCCGCCCCTCTCGGAGAGCCCGGCAAGCTACCGAGAGTATTCGATATGCCAGACACAGTAACAACAAAGTCTCCAATGGAGACATTACTGGGCCCGCTCGAGCAAATCGATGATCAACGGGAGGGCCTTTACTTTACGAACTTATAGCCAAATCAGGTCAAAAACACTAAAAATTCAAAAATAAAATTTTATAAAATGATTTTTGTCAGTTTGAATTGAATATATGTACATATTTTCATATTTTAACACTTAAATATCATGTATAGGATATACACATATATATTAAATTAGTGTGTGTATGTGTGTCTAAGCATGCCACATCACTAATAGCTACCATAAACTCTAGAGGGCAGCAAAGAACTCCTTTTACACTCATGCGACAGAAGTGTAGTTACCATCTTGACTTCCAGACTGATTCTTCCTGTGTGGAGTCTTTTACTCATACCTCCCACCCTTTTTCCAGTTCAAGGGAATGTCATAAGACTATTTCTGTTTAATTATGATCACTTACATAGTATTCATAGAATTGATCACATAAGACTTGTGCAAATTTTTTTCATAAATATTTCCTAAATTTTTTCATAAAAATTTACAGCAAGTTTGTAAGCTCTTTGTTATAGAAGCTCTAATTTTTCCTAATATTATCACAGTCAGACTGAGCTTCATCTGGCTCCTGTTGAACACTATCAGGTACAAATAAAATATCTATTTATTTATAAGGAGTTACTTGGGGAAAATTTTATTTTGTACTAAACTGCATTTAAATTCATTCTATTAGGGAGAAAAAAAGAAGAGGATAGATTTTAAGACAAACTAAAAGAAGGAATTGGACAAGATGATATCTAGCGTTAATTTTTCTTTTTTTTTTTTTTGCAGTTTTGAGTCATACCTGGGAATGCTCAGGGGTTACTCCTGGCTCATGCACTCAGGAATTATTCCTGGCGATGCTCAGGGGACCATATGGGATGCTGGGAATCAAACCCGGGGCAGCCGCATGCAAGGCAAACACCCTACCCGCTGTGCTATCACTCCAGCCCTAAAGTTAATTCTTAATCCAAATTCTTCTTCTGACCTTTTTTAAAATAAATTTTTCATTTAGGCATCATAAATTATAAAGTTATTCATAGCTGAGTTTCAGGTATACAGGTTTTCACACCTATCCCATCACACCAGTGTCAACTTCCCTCCACAACTGTACCTTTTTTCTTTCTTTATTTTTAGTATATAAAAATAAACCAGTTTTCAACTATTGTTTC